ACACGCGAGACGCTCGCCACGACCTAAACAGTCGTTTACACGCCGGCTGCGAGCCTAGTCTCTCGCGCCGGCTTTCGTGTCAGATTTCTATCTGCGTGGATTATTAACCGGCTCGAGTCGCGTGCCAAGCCTCGCGAAAACCTCTGGTCATCGCGAGAAAATCGACGATCTTGCTCCACGTTTTTGATGAGGCCAATTGAAACCTTGTTACGCAAGCGCGGAAACAAGCGATGTTAATCGTAAATGTGCGTTAATTAAAATTTAATTAGACACAAAACATTAATTTAGTTAATTTAAGTAAATGCGAAATTTTACTCCTTTTGAAAGTGCTTTTTATTCTTCACAAATTCAACGTGTCATTGTAGTTGAATGTTTCTCAACGCTCCCTGGTTATGCTCGGTACAATACTTAGCGGGAAGCGAGTGTAAGTGGGCTGATTGTCGATTTATCTTACAATTGCATTAAATCAATGGCGAAATCGTCGTGCAACGCGGGTGGAAACGGTACGACGAGCATTTCGAAACAGTTTCATATCGATGCGCAGATACGGCCAAACAATAGACGGGTTTCTCTCTTCTCTCTCTCTCCCCCCCTCTCTCTCTCCCTCTCTCTCTATGACTATTGGCGTTTTTCGACGTCCACCGCGCATACATCGAAACGCGCGTCTCTCCCGCTCGCGTTCGTGTTGCTGGCCAGTGCGCGCGATATTGCTGGCGGACGTGCTCCGGTGAACCGGATAAATGCCCGTAATTTATATATGCGAAAGAATGGCGAAGTTAAAACAAACGATAGTTTACTCGCGAACCGCCGTCTTCCAAACATGGTACATCGTCCCTTCGATGAACGGCGTTACACGGAAGAGACGATGTTGCTTTACGCGCATACGAGGCACCTTCGATGAACATGTCTCGTCTCGTTCGCCGAATACGCCGATACATCGATGAGTCTGTGAAACACCTGTGAATCATTAGCGGACCCATTGTCTAAGTCACGCTCGTTAAATACGCAAGATTACTTCCGGGACGTCGATGGCGCAGTTGTTGTACGCTCCGTTTTCTGTAACCATCAGATCTCGTTCCGCAGGCGCTTTACTGCGAAGGGAAATCATGTTTAGAAATTGTAGACAACATTATAATGACAGCTTATCGTGATGACTTTAGGCGCTCATTTATGAAAACTTAAAAATTCAAACGTTTTTCCGTAATTTCATAATAGCGCAATTTATATGATATTAACGTAATTTCATAATAGCAATTTATATGATATTAACGCTGCGAGAGCCTATTCGTTTGCTGTGTATTGAAGTGACAGGACGTCACAGTTGTTAACGCCGCTGTTACAACGAGCCATGTTGCTCTAGCTAATTTTTTTTTGCAAACAGGAAATTGATTTCGGTATCGACGAGCGTCAGCTGTCCTGGGTGCGATGGTGAATAGGATAATTCCCACGGTTGGATGAGCGCGACACAATATTGCAATGATATGTTACTGACAAGAAATTTTCCCCTTCGAAAAGAATTTGATGGGAATTTTTGACGTGTACTTCTCTATTTTTATCAATATTTAAATTTAGAAAAAAAGTGTAAAAAGTGCAAAAAAAAATCGATCGATATATAATGTGATTTTGGATTATGGTTTCTATGCTTGTATTCGATTATCCGCAGAAGAGAGAGGAGAATATCTTATCAGCGTTTACTTTAAAAATCTATCAAGTTTTATTGTAATCGAAGGGTGTGGATTTGTTGTGAGAGAGATCGTATAGCGGTCGGTCGAGGGTCGCCGGAGATAGGCACGCGAGAGGGCTAATGCATTTCTAATGTTTCTCGTGCTCGTGAGGGCATAAAAGTTATAGTACTCTGTCGGCTCTTCGCAAGTCCATTCCATTTTAAGCCGCGACCGTTCATGCGCGGCGTATGCTTATTCACGAACGTTAGCATTTTACGGGTGTATTAAAAATTCAGTTGTCGTGTGTCAACGCGAAATTAACTCGCTTTCGCCCCTCGAAAACGCGAGATATGTTTAGCGGATATAGTATAATTGCGCGGCTATAAAAGGTACATTTTCTCGTAAAATTGTTCTAAATTGGTGCAATTATATTACTATATCTTTTGACACGATATTAAAAGGTAAATACCTGGAACGCATGAGTAACTTGATTCCTTTGGCTAGCTTTCAACCAGCTGAGAACGCTGAAGAGAAACTACGCTTTTCGTTTAAATATACTTATAATAACGTATTAAACCTACAAAAATGTTATACATCGAGAAGTTTTTTCTATTTTCTGCTTTTGTTATGATGAATACATCTGTTATTCATAAAATATCTTAAATACGAGAAACTTTTTTTCCTATTTTATACAAGCTAAAATTTTCACGGAACAACTAACAAATTAATTAACAGTGAAACATAAAGCTTAAAATAACAACGAAGGATTAAACTTTAAACAAACAATGATTTTAATCAATTTTTAAAATTGCTATTTGCAAAGTGGAACAATAGATATATAGCGGAACAATACAATTGCGAATTCAATTTTACCGTTAGAAAAGAATTAATTGCACATTTATTTCGCTGCAGTGCATGCAATTGGTATGCAACTTTTTTGGCACATGCCGTATACGGTCGCCGTTAACTCAGGATTGATCGTCGGCCAGCAGCAATTCGGTGTATGTATATAGGAAAAGAGCGACTCAGGATCTCAATCAATGGTCTATTTTTATCGATGCCTATTTCTCGATCGAATTCGTCGTAAGAGGACGCCGCGCAGCCGGAAGTTCATTACCTCGATACCTTGCCACGTCTTTTCGTGCGGACAATGCCCCGCGATACACAACCCCTGGACGTCCGCCAGTTTTTGCCGTGCGTTTTTACCTTTTGGTATTAGGCCAAATTCTCGCGACGCGAGCGTCCATTTACGGTCGCTTTCACCTCGACGTTTCTACGGCTAAATATCGAACTCAGACGGAAGCGGAAGAGTCTTGAGTGGAAAGTTCCGAGCGGAATTTGGAGCAGGTCCCTTGGCTAGGAAATGTAGAACGGATTTTCAGGACACTTGATATTGCCCTCGTAGATATAAAATGTTTACGAAGAAACGGAATACGATTCCAATCGAGTTGACGTAGAATTACGAACAATAAAATCATAATCGAAGGATTTTTTTTTTTCAACGCAATTAATACGAAGGATAATGTTTGCGGAAAACCTCTTAAAGGGAATTAAGTTACAATCTAACAGTTACATCGGGAAATATCCTGTTATGACTCTCGACAAGAGAAGCTTTCTTTACAAGAGGAATAAAATTGTGATTCCGAGTACAACTCGCACAAAAGCTGCAACGAATGCCTCTTAAGTGCCTCTCCATTGGGCACCGTTGTAATTCTTTAAGCGCCGAGAAGCTTATATTCTGCAGGAAAATTTACAGTGGGGAAAGAGGGTGTTGAAAAGCGGCGTTGACGATCGATACGGTACGCGAGACAATAAAGCACACGACGCGTTTCTCACGTCCGGTTTCTGTTTCCTTCTCGGGTTTCAAGAATTGATTTTGTCTCGCGGCGGCTCTTCTTGCTGCCTAGATTGCGCGAACCTAAAGCATTTGTTGACAGTGTGTTTCAACACTCTCCAAGCGAAAACTAATAATGATCATCAAACAAGTGAGCCTTAGGCGGAATAGTCACATAAATTAGCCAGAATAAAATTATTACATATACTAGTCATCATAATTTTGTGTTTCTATTAAAGGCTTATTTAAATATCTGAATATTTTATTATTTTTTCAATATAAATTTATACATTATTTTATATTTATATATATGTAAATCTTTTATTTGTAGTAAGTGGAGAGATTAGGAGAACTTGTAGGGGCAAATAGCAAATATTACACATCAAGCACATTGCAGCTGCAATAAATACCTTGCGTCTGAATTACTATATTAGGGGCATAGTAAACGTCTCAGGAATTTCTGAGCGTAATAACGCTTTGGCATGCATCGGCGGAACGTGCTCATACTTTCATTCCGCTGTGCACTCCTTCATGTCTATCTGCATATTACGTTACGGCGCTGATAACGGAATTATGCGAATAAACGATATGGCACTTGCTGCCACGTCACGCACCGAGGTCTCGCCTTTCATCGACGTGCCTAATATCGTCATTCACACGATAATCGCGTACAATGGTAAATTTGTCAAGCACGATTCATCAATCTCGTCCGTTATTTCACACGTTGTTGACACAATCGTGATCGTTTTGTCTTAAAAAAAGGAAAAAAAAAAAACACTCATTGACACAGTGACACGATTGGACATGGTCCCTAAAGGGTGAGAACGTTGGTAATTCGGCGCCCCATCGTGCGTTTCTCGCTGTACCTCCCTCGGATGTATTAGAGCGCTACGAACGCCTCTTTACACATCGTTTTTCTCTTTCTATCTCTTTCGTTCCACGTCGACGTATCATTAAGCTGTTCACCCTCGTTTTTATTTGAATCGCTCGGAGAAAGCTTACCCCTTGCTTCAAGGGAACGCACACTACAATCGTCGACGACCCCTCGCGGCGAACAAAAAAATAATATCGCGCTCGACTGAGCCAACATTTTTTTCCATTACACTGCACTCCACGTGGCGTAGAGACCCCACTTTTTTATTTTACGCAGAGCCGATCGAGTGTCAAAACGGTCGTATATTTGATATTTTCTTCACACGTAATTGCTATCTAATTTCTAATTTATATTGAGTTAAAATTAGAAATTACTTTTTTATAATGCGTGTGACATAGATAAATAAATATCTTTATTTCTTCGATATATGAATGTAACGTTATAAAGTGCCAAAGTAAATTTTCCCATATAAATGTATGTTAAAAACAAATGTCCGTCAAATAATTATATTTAATACATAGTATTTAAGATCTCTCGTATTGTACTTTAAGTATAACCTTAATTTGCAATAGTAAATCTTAGTTACGCAATATAAAATACTAAAATGGGGTATTCTCTATTGTTTCAGGGTGGTGAGGAAGCAGAGAATGCGACAGCCTCCGCGAGCAGTCCAGTGGAGGAGAAATCAGGGGCGAGCAGTCCATCGGCAGATGAGCAGGTAGCCGCGCCGGTAGCAGCAGCCGAGCCGAAGGAAGAAGCGGCCGCGGCGTCGCCAGTAGCCGCTAGTCCCGCCGAGGAAAAGAAAGAGGAACCCACTCCCTCCGCCCCTACTCCCGTCCCGTCCGTCGAGGATAAGAAAGAGGAGGCGGTCGAAAAAGTCGAGGCCGAGAAAAAAGTAGTCGAGGTCAGTCAGTCAGCCGGCGGTCAATCCGTAACGGACCCGGTAGAGGTCCCCGTCTACCGAGTCCAGCCAGTCGCGACGCCGTCTATCATTGAGAGGAAAACCAGTGAGGACCTCCCCTCCTTACCCCCGTCCAGTCCTCCGCCAACCCCCATAGACCCGTCGCCCTTGCAGCAGGCTCAGCAGGCCGCAGCGAGCGCCACGGCCCTCGCCGAGGCGCTCAAACTGCCTGCCGTGTCTGCCGTCGAGGAGCAGTCGACGTTGGCGTCACAGCCTGACGTATCTCGCGTAAACATTTCCCAACAGAGCCGCGTCGAGTCCACCATCTCCGCTGTTGTGTCCCCGCCATCCCTCGGTCCCTACACCGATTTGCCTCCGACGGAAGCGACCTTTGTCCTCGCGGAAGTAGAGTGCGCGCCGGAGATAGAAGTCGAGACATCTCGAGATGAGGCGAGGGAGACAGTAGCGAGTAATCTTGACAATGAAAGGGTGATGAAGCCGATCGAGTTGAAGGCAGAGTGCGTGTCGGAGAGCCCCGTCGCGATAGGGGAGGTATCCAAGTGCCAGGAAAATGAGGCAAACAGGGTGCAGAAGCAGTTGGGCGAACCACTCGATAATAAGAGCGAAGGTGCAGCAGAGGGCAAAGTAGAATGTCTTCTTGTTAGTAAAGAAGTAAATCCGTTCGCGAACAGCAGCGTGAAAGAAAGCGATAAACCATCGGAAGTCGTTACGGTAGAAAAAGTTTCCGACGCTGGTGCGATAGATAAAGTTATGAATGAGGCTTTACTAGTCGCAGAGTGTCAAATAAAGAGCGAGATAAATAGCCGCGAAGGCGCGATGAAAATAAATGTAACGTCTGACGCCGGACATAATGAAAAAGCCGAGGTTGGGACGTCGACTGAGATTGAAACAAACAGCGCCTGCCCGGCGGTGAAGCAGCATTTATCGTCCGAAAACTTTGAAACTGAAAAAATGAACAGTTTTCCAAATGAAACGATGCAGCTTCCTTCGTATGAAAAATGCGTGGCTGTTGAGGTGGAAAAACCATTGGAAATCAATTCTACATTCACCACGCAGTTGATTGAAATTTCTTCTAAAGAATCAAATGCGGCAATTTCAGAACAATTGTGCAAGAGGATCGAATACGAACACGGTTACGCGAAAGACGCGCCGATGGAAGTCGAGGAAGAAAAATTCATAAATTCCGAAGAAGGTCCGTTGTCTGTTTCGGACATTTTAGTTGAAGCTAAGCCAGCAGTTGTCATTCCGGAGGATGACAGCGTGGAAGAACTCACCGACACTACCGAGTCGGTCAAGGTGATTCCCGAAACAGACGAGGAGAAAATCGAGAATGAACTTGAATCGGACACCGCGCTGCCCACGGAAGAGACTTTGATTTTCGAAGAAGATACATCCGCCCCGGAAGACGCGGCAATTGAACAGCCTTTAATTGATCTCGCCGGCGTGCCTGATGGTTTTACGAAAAACGAGAAGACATTTGATATTGAAGACACGCTGCCTTCTCCACCTGAAGATTTAGCTACATTCAGTCCGCAAACACCTGAGCTTCAAAGCACAGTGAGCGCAGTTGAGGTGGAACAAATTGTAGCATCCTCCTCGCAAATCGAGCAAACCGAAGAGGGCGAGAGGTGTTCTCTTTCACCGAAAGATCGTGTAACATCGCCGGGCGAATCTTGTCCTTTGAACGATTCAGAACCGACGCATCGTTCGCCGTCGCGGCTTTCAGACGCTCCGACAAATTCTCTTTCAGAGAAGCACTCAAACGAATCGCAAACGCGAGTTCTCTCGCCCGAATCTGAAAGCGTGCCTATCTCGTTGGAGGATCTCCCCCCGGCGCCCGAGGACACGGGAGCGCAGAGCTTAGATTCCTTCGATTATCCTTTACCACCGGAAGAGCTGTCCTGCCCGTTACCGCCGGTTGTTTCCCCGAACGCGTCTGTACTCGAGTCACCACCAACTCCCGTCGAGCACGCGGCCAACCCGAGAGACCCGACGGAGACGCTCCTCACACCGCCTATAAGTCCCAGCCATCAATCCAATATCAGTCTCGCATCCGGCATCGCGACCGAAACCGCCACGAAAGATCGCTCGCAAATCCCCTCGTACGATCAGGACGGTAGCGAGCAATCGCTAAGCAAACCGCGGACAAATTCGTGCAATCAATCGAACATTGAGTTGAAGGGGAGGCTGACGACCGAGTACTCAGCGGAGACCGAAAGTCAGGAAGCGGCCTTATCATGTCAGTTGTCGAACATCGTCCCGTCGATTGCCACCAAGGAGCATCACCAGGTGACTAACATGCAACACAACCTCCTGGCATGAATGCGACCGGCCAAAGTTCTTTGGCGGACGCTTCGTTCCACGTATATCTTCGTCGTACGGTCCGCACAGTACTGTCTCTGTGGTCTTATAGTATGAAAAAAAAAAAAAAAACATCGGCTCTCCCGACTCCCGATTCCTCTCTCCGAAATCCCACCAGCGCTCCGCTATCCGAAGATCATCGACACAAGTATCCAATTTTTCCTAAAAGAATTCTCCCATCCGCTAGAAACAGCCTCGCCTTTCCGCCCCGTTCTCTCGACGAAGGGTAACATCGAATGAGACTGACAGCGACGACAGGACGGGACATCTTGCACGATTCTCATCATCGAGAACAAAATTACTTTGTTGTTCGGGTGTGCCGATGCACGACCGGAGCCGGTCGGTTCTCAGAAAAGCCCGCCATTTTCCATCCCGATACACACCCCCATTGTGTTCCAATAAAGCCTGAGGGTCTCGTATCGTGTGCATCCTTCGTTTTGTCGAACGTGATTAACACCAGCCTTACTCTGCTGCTCGATGTCCTCCGACGCTTCCACCCCGTCTTAAAAGCCCGTACCACAACTACCAATTACCACCTGTGTTGTTTGCCTCTTGGTTTTCTTGATAATATTAACATATCTTTTTATACGATTAAAATTGATGCGCTGTAGTAGAGCATTTTTTGGCGGCGCGGCAAATAGCAAACAAATTGCGCTGCCGTGTCAATTAATATTATTTCCGTAGAAGATTATTATCTTTTTTCGTATCGAACGCTCTCTTATACTAATATAACATAGACGCTCGAATATTAGAGGTACCTCTAGTGCGAATCTCATTGATAGACGTAAAACAAGTTGAACTAATGACACACGCGCGTGGTAGCAGGCGTTTTTTTAGATTTTCGATAGACTTACTCATTAGAAGAGCTCGATACTTACTGTCGTGCTGTTCTCGTAATTGCATCTGTTGTGTCGTAAGCATCTTGTACTTGCGCATGAGTTTTCTTATCTGAGGGTTCGTCAGCGGGGTTTTCAATTCTTTGCGCTGCCCGAAGCATGACGAAACAATTCTGCTGTGGCATTTCGTCGTTACACGGCGCGCTTCAAGCGAGGAGGTAATAGGCATTGTCTGGTGCACTATTAAGTAATGCAGACCAAAATCAGAGATGTATGATGTACTTTGGTGTTACATTTTCTTATATTCGTCACAAATTATACTTTTATCATTATTGTTCCGTTATTATTAAATTATTATTAACTATTTATATAGAAAATTAATCTCTTGTATCTTACGTATCAGAATTATTTTTATTACTAATTATTTATTTATAGCTCTATCCCTGAACAATCCAAGAATAGTTATCTCGCAATATACATCTCGCGATTTGCTTGGGACAGCTAATTAACTCTGATGATAATTCGTGAGAAAGAAAATCCAGATCGAGATCTTTCTTTCGGAATGGAAGTTGCGCAGCAGAATTGATCTTTCGTTCTCGTTACAGCATGTTGGGTTTGGATTTGAAGAAAGAGAGAGAGAAAAAAAAGAAAACGCGGGAGAATGAGAATTGCGTAACACAAACAGAACTGTATTTTACAGAACGCTCCGGAAATCGAGACGCCGGTAGAAAACAACATCGCCCACGATGTCAGCACGACGGAAAGCGCCGATGAGGCTCCTAAGGTTGCACCACCGGCTGTGCCGGCTGAGGCACCCGCCTCCCCGCCAACAGCGCCGGCTATCACCGAGGACGTCGCCTCAGTCACCAAGGTGATATATATATTCCCAGTCTAGCCGCAGTCTGAAGATTATAATCACGTACATGCTACGCCCGCGCTATTATTAACATCGAATGAGTCATTGTCGATGATGCACGGATAGCATCGATCGATCGTTTTGAATACATATGCGAGGAGAATCTGAACATATCTCGACTTCATCTGATATCATAATTTGCATAATCGCCGCAGATTCTATTTACGTTTATTTAATACGTTTATAAATGTACGTATATAGTACGTACATTTAATACATATTTTAATGGGAAAAAACATGGGAATATATCGTTCTTAAATTATTATTCTGTATAAAAAAGTAGCGAGAGAGATGTAACGAGAGATGTGTTTGCACCTTATGTGATGATGAGAGTCCATAATAGTTCCTTAAAAATTCTAGCTATTAGCATTTTATTAGCAATTTGCATAATAATGAAAAATTAATAATACGTTTTTGATGATGTCTCTATGATGATTACTGGATAAAGACTTCTCAACTAGTCTATCTAATAGGATAGTTCGTAATTGATATGATTCTTGCATGATGATCGCCAAGAGATCATTTACGCTCGATAAGCGTAAGTGAGTCTGAAGGTCGTTATTGAGTTTACTGACCGACGAAGATTAATGAGCGAGGGGCCATCTGATCATTAATACTGCGACTGCATTTTTTAATATAGTGACTAAGTAGTTATTAACGCCACTAATGCTTTTATTCTCTTTCTCTCTAAAGGCTATTGAGGAGATTGAGATAAGTGATAAGGCAGTCGCGGCAGCAGTGAACGAAGCTATCGAATGTAACACGAATGTAAGTCTCTATTCTCACGATATCAACGTCTATTCTTATAAATACAAATTGATTAATTTTTTGTTTTCTTTTTGCAGGAAATCATTGCTGACGCGCATCACCAAAACAACATAAACGAATAAGCGCCACTAATTGAATTGTATTTTGGAAAGAAGAAAGTTCTTTTCTCTCGTTAAAACCAAAAAAGTATATTATATAGATATGTATATTTGGACCATTCCTGCAACTAAACAGAAAATAACGTTCTTTCGTTACGAGCAGCAAAAGGGGAAAACGGGGCGATGACGACAATGACGATGAGGATGTTACCGCAGCATCGCGAGGGCATATAGACTCTATGGTAGGCCTATTAATTATTATACATCGTTTAACGGCAGGGCGAACGAGAATACGCGCGAGAGAGAATCTACAATCATATTATTTAAGAACGGATTTACAAGATCATATATATATATATATCGCATGTACGTTCCATGCTAGAGGAGGAGTATACATATATAAATATGTATATTGTTATTCGTGCATGGTCCCTTTTACAGATTAAACGATACTCGTTTCATTCTTTGTGACACGCGGCGAGGGCATTAATTGCCGAATCCATTCGGATCATGTCTAACCGCGAGTTACAAAGATCGGCCCTGCTGTGTAGAAATTTTTAAAGTGTCATTAATTGTTACTGAAGTAAGTCTAATGCTCGAACATCGCGCGACGGACAAGCGATAGAAGCGATTAATTAAGATCGTCGAGATTGATAGGGCGAGATTCGTTCGTCGCGCATTCCAGAGGAAATACTCATTGGATGGCGCCCTCCCGTAATTACATAACTATTGTACTCTATGAGAGCGAAAGAGTG